TTCCTTTGAAGCAAAATGAGGGAACTGTGTAAACTGCAACATATTATAGTTTTTGCTGTCGCACTTAAGAGCAGACAGCACCATAAATTGTATGTTGAACAAGGGTGTGACTAATCTGAAAGAAACTGAGGCACTAACAAAAGCAAAACTTGGGGGCACCTGACAGGAGGCCCGTCACGCGGCGAGAAAGCGGAAACGCGGCCGGGTCAGCGGTCATGCTGTGTGATGTGGGACGTACTTAGTGCATTATGTCAACTTGACACGAAATCACTACAGTACGCGCTGCGACTCGTCCGCTGACCCGTCTGCGTCTCTGCCTTCTCGCCGCGCGACGGCCTCCTGTCGGGTGTTTGACACTACGCCCATGGCGGTTCAGCATTCAACTTCAAATTGGGCAAAAAAATTCATACAAACTTCAAGACGCAGGCACACCCACCAAACTGCTTGGTCATGTTTTCCACCCAGTCGAGATCAACCACATCCTTGAGAATTGCCTTCATATGTTCGCCTTTGTCCGCAAGTTTACCATCGGCAAATGTTGAGAACATCCCCATTATTTGATTTAATACCTGGAAATTTTCCCTTCACCATTTCTAAGTCCAATTCAGAAGTTTCGATGGATACCTCCTCTTTGAAAATTGCTCCAAGAATTGTTTTGAAAGGTGATATGTACTCGTTTCTCTCTTCTGGAGGCATTTCGAGTGAACTCGCCTCCATTACAGCTTTATGTCGTAGAATCTTAATTGAATCGTCTTGAAAATTCCCAAAAAATCAATAAATTAATATATCTATATATTAATGAACATATTATTATAAAATCAATAATCAAAAATATTATTTAGGAGGGTTTTTCGCAGAAAATATGACTTTTTCAATGGATCTGCAAAAAATACCAACCTCCTTCAAATCCTTCGGCGCTACGTTTTCGTACACATGTACTGCTTCTCAAATTCTCCAGGTATTCCATGATTATGTATCCTTTGACGGGATTCCATTCTGTGAACAGTCTCATGTAGTAGATCTAAAAAGACGAGAATTTTTCAACTTTGAACTATAGCCCTACGGAGGTTCGCTTTCAAGTTGTGCTGCGTTTAATGCCACATATCTATTAATTATTTATTATTTACCTTTGTTTTTACGTTTCTTATTGTTCTATAAATTCAGCCCAAACCGTAAAACCCGTCGACGTAAGCAAACCAGCCCTTTTGGCACATCGGCTGGGACCGTATGCTGAATGTTGGGGAGGGGATGGGGTCCCCAACGGTCGACGGTTTACTTCAACTCGGTTGGTACGATAGGAGAGTACTGACGCAAGTGGTGCAGCTGGTCCAGCAGCTCCGCCAGAAGGGCTGGTTTGCTCACCCCAGGACTAAGCCTTGGAGAGGGGACGGACCCGTCCTCTCTTTAAGGCTTAGTTCTGAGGTAAGCACCAAATTGTGGCGGTTCTAAGGACCGAGTTGAAGTGGTCCGTCCACCGTCGGGGACTCCATCCCCTCCCCAACATTCAGCATACGGTCCCAGCCGAAGCGCCAAAAGGGCTGGTTTGCTTACGTCAAACCGTAGTGCAGGATTATAAACAAAAATGGGCGCTATCACAATACACGGGGGGCATCCCCTAGGACAAAGCATAGGAGAAGGCAAGAACTAGGAAGAAAATTAATATGGCTAACACATCTTGGTCTTTTCTTCCCCACTTTAAGGCTCGTCCCGTTTTCAAGAAAAATAACCAAAACCCACCCGTGTAACGCGGTTTAAAACGCATTGCCATCACGGTGCCCCTGTATAATGCAATAGCGCCCAAAAATGTGTTCCATAAACTAAGCAAAGAGATAAATTCAAGCGTGAGACTAAGGATAATAAGCAAATAATCATGGCACATTTCTTTTTGGGAACCTTCACCGATTACCGAAATATGTAAGTGAGGGATCCTGAAGTCAAGACCACGTTCAACCGCCGTGTTGTCAGTCTCCAAAGAAAATTTGACGTTCCATTCTCAAACTGGGACCCTGAGGCGACCGCCACTCCGGGCACCGGCCTGCACATTTGGTGGTTCCATTTTCTGTTATTGAACCGAACGGGGCAGCCCACTGCCGCCTTCCGTCTCCAAAAGGCGGGGTGAGATGCATGCACGGGGCTGCGGACGTAGACGCCACATGACTTAAGGCATGAAATTTCTGCTGCCTGTTCATTTCACGTTTCCATTCGGGAAAAACCGTGCGCCAGATATCAGCCGCAAACTCCGGCGTCAAGTCGACCTCTTGTCCCCTGCTATTACGCACCCTTATTAGAATTCGCCACTTTGTTTCAACACGCTCTTCATTCCCATACCTTGCGCGAACAACACCTGAATAAGACCCCCTAAAACAATGAAATTAAATTATAAATGAATTGATATGTAATAACAATAATCACATGGTAACATGAATGGTGCTATTTACATTGGCTGGACATTTCATATGAACGGCACTTTGCATACCTTCGGAATGTGTACCTTTCCCTCAGGGAGCTTCATGAAATGATTGTAGGTTCTTACTTCGGCATTGTGACACTGAAATAGTTCAAGAACATAAATTGATAAATTGTGAAAAATCATTTCAAAATAGCTAGACATAACAATTCAACAGGAAACTGAAGGTGGGACCATGCAACTTCTAAATAGAGGCATTCCTTTATTTGCCCCCCCCGCACTTTTCCTGAGGATGGTCGAGGGTGTCCATAGCTGACATGGTAGAGCGAGATAACTGCCCACACAGCAGCAAAAGCTTACTTTAGAAGGACGTCAAAGGGGAGCGGGAAGGGGTGAAAAGAAGAGTGCTACGCTATATTTCATCAAGCTTAGTCCCGCTGCTTCAAATGTGTATACATATCCAAACCCGCTCGGGGCAGACGAACGCAAGACTATATCAACACTTTCCAGTATGCACGGCTCGATGAATGGCTTCCCACTTCTCCCAGAGATTTTCTGTCGAAGGATCCTGGGACACCCCTTGGCAGGGATTACTGTATGCAGTTCAATTTTCCACTTTTGTTCGGAAGACCTTCCTATGATTGTGTATCTAGGAATGTTATCGAACTCACAATTTTTTGCAGTTCTGCCATTTCCTCCATCATTTTTGGATCGCTGAAGGTGTTGTCCATTTTATTCATCTCACACATTTCAGCGGAGGCTTTCTGCATGGCAAGCTGGCTGAGAATCTGGAATGAATTTTCATTGTTGACAAAACTGCAAAATGTAGTGGTGAAGCGTTCAGAGTTGGCGATAGCACGTGCGATTAGGCGATCAGGCGGGAAGACTACATACGTATTGATTGGTTTGCTCCGCCCATAGAGCGTTGTAGGCGAGTAGGCGTAGGCGATTAGGCGATCGCTCAATGGGCGGAGCAACAAATCAATACGTATCCTTCTCTCATCGCCTACTCGCCTAATCGCCTACTCGCCTACTCGCCTAACGCCTATCGCCTAATCGATACGTACACTTTTCTTTTTGAATCATCGCCTAATCGCTAACTGTGAACGCTCCATTAGCTTCAGCGGTTCTTTTCCGACTAACCGCCTTACTGCGTTGTGTGAGCGCTGCCATACCGTGATAAATGTACCATGAAAAGTTAAAGATAAAGGGCGCCCCGTAGATTGTATCGCACTTGCCCGCTAAGCAAGAGATGCAGGTTCGGGTCTCGTTTCGAGTGAAAGCTTCATTCATAATCTACCATTCTTGTGAATCTGGAATGGGCCTTTTGCTCACAAAAACCTTCCCATAAGGAGATGTATTCGATCTATCCCATTTTGGAATATGCGATTTACTCTAGGCGTCCAATGCAGAAGTCGCCCAGAGAGTGTATACGGAGCGTTCGGAACGAACACCTATGGCCGTCAGCCATCTGGTGGCCTAAAGGACCAACAGGGCTCGTTGACTTCTAGCGTGTGCTTAACATTTGCCGACTGCGGCACGACAAATTTGTGTGGCAGCGGAAATTGAGAGCTCTCGATAGCACTGTGGCAAAGTCTGGGAAACCTAGCTCATTTACAGAATCCAGGTGACGTCGTGCTCTACATACTTCTGAACTCGTCGCACGCTCTCTGATGAATCTTATTGCCTCGATCACCTCAACCTACATACCTGTGAGCTCGCAATGCATCCTTGTCATTTTGGACGATCAATCCCTTTGATTTAACGCCTTGCGAACAACAGGCTCTAGAAGAAAAAGGGGGTGTTTTCAAACGAACCTTCACTACAAATCTTGAAGGGAGTTCTTTGTCCTTATGCTGCCAATCTGGATCGATGAGTACCATTTTGGACATGAATCCCTGAAATTTAACTTGGAGCAGAGCACGAACACTCCCAATTTTCGTTACGTCGAATTCAGTGTTACATTTCTCTCTAATGGATATTTCCCAGACACTGTCAGCCAAGGGGAAAAACCAGGGACGGTAGCAAAGTACCCTTAACTCGCAATCAGAAGTAACGATCGGAGATTCTAAGCAAAGAATAAAGAATGGAGAGTGCGATCCAGCCCAGATCAAGCAAGAGCTTCCTACTTTAGATTTCAGACGACAAAATATCAGGAAACGAATAAATAAGAAAAAAAAGGTTGCAAAAGTACCTGAAGATTATGGATCGCAGCTGCATTCTTTGATTCCTAACAGGTTGAGCTGGTCAGAGAAGAAAAAAGAGCACGGGATTGAGGAGGCGCAGTCACCACGTCTGACACGTATGACCCTCCAGTAAAAAGTGCTTCGGAGTACTTTTTAGTGAAGGATCAACGTGGCCTCTGCGTCTCCTAACCCCACAGTATTTTTTTCTCTGATTAGTTAGGAATTAGGTTTACAAGTTAACTGTCTAACTTCAAGTCAAATTGGTTTTTTTGGTTATGATCTAACTGTAGGTTAAACAAGACTTAATGTGTTGAGAAGCGCTCTGAACCAGTTATCTAAACTGACTTTGGTCTGAGCTAATCTCGACACGTTAAGTCTGAATTAATGAAGGTTTGCTACCGTCCCAGATTTTTAAAACAAGGCTAGGCGTAATATTTGGTAGGAATTGTAAGAGTTTCCTCGGCGATAAGCTATTCGTTTGATTATTCCTTAATTGTACTACATATGTTCTTTAATTGAACTGTTTCTTTATTAAGATAAGATTGAAAATAAGGTTAATATAAGGTAATGACAAGAATATGAAGAAAAGATTATCATAAACGACTCCCTTGAACTACTTTTCTGTCTTTCTTTCTTCTCTCTCATTTTTTTTGCATCATCGATTGCATACTTTCACGAAGTTCTGTGCTCCATTGTGCGCATCTTTTGGTGTATTAAATAAGTAAATAAATAGATGGATAAACAAATAAATAAATGCTAGCCTCTGCGTGCGAGGATGGGTGTGAGAGCCATTCCTAATAACGGCCATGAAAGGATGCATGCTCCCAGCTAGTCAATCACGGGATAATTACCCGGTCTCAATGTGCTGCGCTTGTCGTTGACTGGTTTGGCGGATTTAGTAAGATTACGGTGCTTTCTTTCCCATGCGATAACGTGATCATTAGGTGATGTCGGAGATCTAGTAAGTGTGCAGAAGTCTTTGATCGGATAATCATAATTTCGACTTCTATCCTTCAAGGCTCCGAAAGAGGAGCGTGGAACTCTAAGTCAGGAAATGTTTTTGACTTCCCATGGAACTTTGAAAGGAGACCTATGAACATCGATAGAGTTTCGGACGCTGAGTACAAATATGGACATTAAAACTGCTACGTGAACTTTATAAGAAAGTTACGAGCATTCAAAGTTGGCAAAAAACGTTACTGAGGCGAGCTCACCTGATGAAATCACGGATGCTTTTTGTCTGGTTTCTTGTTCTATAAGGGTTAGTGGGTGCCCTGATTACGAATTTGATACTCGTTTTGGCGCAGAGCTATGGCGACAACTGTGATTCCATCAGGTAAGCTCATAATTGTATGTAAAGTTTTTTGCCAACTTTGAATGCTCGTAACTTTCTTATAAAGTTCACGTAGCAGTTTTAATGTCCATATTTGTAATCAGCGTTCAAGACTCTATGGAGTCATCTAGGTCTCCTTCCAAAGTTCCATGGGAAGTTCAAAGCATTTCCTGGTAAGAAGCGCTAGCCTAAACTGTCTGAACCAACCTCGCGTGCATTTCAACAAGGCTGTGGCATTCAATCGCTTCGACAAAGTTTCTTGAGGAATTTAACCAGACTTTGTTCGACGAGGTTTTTAGGACTTTATTAGGTTTACTTTAGTGAGCAAGCTTCACTCTGTAAAATGATCCTATGTGTTGACATAGGGCGAATTTGCGTTCACTCAGAGAAAAACTCGAGAAGACTGCTGCTGTATGCGCACCGTTCACAAGCCTTCTTTCTTTTGCCGTAGTTCAGCAATATTCTATGGTTTGTGGTTTAAACAGTATTTGTTAATTGATCCTTTGCCCAAAGAAGGAGCTTTTCTAAAAATTCTCGCAATCCCTCAATGGTCATACCATATTTTTAGAAAGCGATTGCTCTTTGCCAGATGATCACACACTCCACCCTTCCTCAGGGAGGACGCCCCTGCTTGAGCGCAGCCCAGCGGAGGAACAATTCGGACTAAAGGAACTGCATAGGTATAATGTGCGATCGATACAAGACCCTTAGGCCAACTTAGCTACATGGCTACTCAGAGTGAGCCAATGCTCTCCAGTCCTTACCGCATCAAGTGGCTGAAATCCAACTATGTGACGAAAAACGCTCTCAAAGATATTAAGTAGCTGCCGTACTGCATTTTTACGTTGGAGGGGCACTAAAGTGGCCCTGGCGTTCTGATAAAACTTCATTACATATGAGGCATTCATAAACCCATCAATGCGCAAGCGACAGGGACGAATGGAGACGTTGCTGGCGCCCGTTCTGGTAACTCGATGACCAACGGGACGGCAGGTGATACAGGTGATCAACGCGTCACCTACATAATGCCTCAACATTCACAGTCAAAATACCTCTCACAAGAAAAGCAATAGGTGCGGTTCGAGTCCCGTCTGGGGCGAAAGTTTTGTTCACAACCCAGCATTCTTGTGAAACATTCGCAAGGCGAACTGCGGCCAAACACTAGCAGTTAACAAATCAAAAACCAGTCAAAGTTTAAATACCGCCAATATCCAACGACATAGTGGATTTATATAGAAAGATCAGTAACCTACATCTGTGCTCTTGACTAGCAGGACAGCTGCG